GGCAGTAGCGGCGACGGGTCGGAACCCAATCATCCACAGCCACGACTACACGCCATGGAGGAGCGGATGGGGAGCTTGGAGGGTCGGCTCAATCCTTTGGTCGAGCGGGTCGAAACTCTAGACCGGAAGCTCACCGACGTCACAAGGTTGATGGCTGAAGGTTTTGCCGCCGCAGAGGCGAGGAATGAGCAACGATTCGCGGCCTTGGAGGACTTAGTGCGAACCATCGCGACGCAGACGATCGCAGCAACAGATCGTCGACTGGAGGCTTTGGACGACGCACTCGAGCGAGACAGTAGTGCAACCGTGACTCCGATCGTAGCTCGAGCTCGCGAGCGACCAGCAGCAACAGCAGCGGAGAAGCTGAAGGGCCCTCTGATCGAGGAGAACAGCGGCGGGGTTAATACTAAACCGCCGACTAGCATGGGGTCGCCGATGGACAGCAGCAGCGGAGAAAAGACAAGCAACGGCGGCGGCACCGGTGGAACAGCGGCGTTGGGACCTGGCTGGGGTAACCTCGCCGTGTCTGAGGGTCCGATCGGTGGAAAGCAAGGAGGCCCAACGGGAGGAAGCTTGCCGGCGAAGATGTCAGGGAACGCGGGGACGATGACGGGAATTCCAGGCGTAACCCCACCGGGTTGGGTCGGACCGCCGGGCTATGACATCTTGCTGAATGGATCAACACGGGTTGGACCAGGGTTAGTTGGGACGAATAATTGGGCTTGGCCCAATTACCAAGGGCCGCCAGGATTCGGACCACCGGGCCTCAATGCAGGGTGGAACCCAGGAGCTGGGCCTTCGATTACTGGGCCGCCACAGTCCATGGTCGGACCCGGGGTGGGTGTGAGCCCCAGTTCGGGGCAACTAACGGGCGGGAACGGAGGATCGGGACCCATGGCCATCTGGGCCGGAGTTCCAAGCGCAGGAGAAGGGCCGCCAGGGTTGGGTCCTCAACACTTCAATGGAGGAATGGGCTCAACGAGCAATTGGGCCGGAGCAAGTGGAACAGCGGCCCAAGGAGGACGCGGCAGCGGAGCCCAAGGAGGAAGAAACGGCGGGCCGGGAGAGAGCGGGCTGGTCGGTGGCGGATTGGGCTGGGTTCCGCAACCTGGCTTGGGCAGTACGTCTGGGCTGCCAACCGGGCCGACCGGAATGGGCCTGGGCCTCAATTGGGGCCAGCTGCCGAGCGGGGAAGTCATGCCCATGGCCGTCTGGGCCGGAGCCACGCCCGCGGAGCACGAGCCAGCAGGGAGTGGGCCTGCCGCGAGCGGGCTTGGAGCAAACTGGCCGGCGCCAGTCAGGCCGCCGACTGGGCCACCGTCTGGGCCGCCTGGGCCTTGGGGAAATCCAACTGGAGCGGGAGAAGGAGAGCGTGGTGGGCCGAGCAGAAAGATGGAGGAGAAGAATGGATGGTTTAAGCCCAAATTAGCCCAACTAGAATTCCCAAAGTACAATGGGAGTGAAGATCCGTCAGGCTGGTTCGCAAGAGTGGAGCAGTTTTTTCGATTCCAGGAAACCCCAGAGGAGCACAAGGTGGCTCTCGCGTCATACCACATGGAGGGAGATGCAAATCAGTGGTGGCAGTGGTTGGAACGCACATACCTCACATCAGGGCTACCAGTTACGTGGGCGCGATTCAGAGAAGAACTATGGGCTCGATTTGGCCCAGCTGAGGGAGCATCTAGCCATGAAGCTCTCGCCAAAATTAAGCAGACTGGGTCGTTAAGCGACTATTTATTGGCATTCGAAAAGCTGGGCAATCGTTGCTTTGGGTGGACCGAAGAAGCCTTGGTGGGATCATTCATTGGAGGACTAAAACCAGAGATATCTGATGCGATTCGAATGTTCCGACCAGAAACGGTGCGAGAGGCTATTCGTCTTGCCAAGGTGAAGAATGAAGAACTAAGCAAGCATCGGCCAATGGCTAGAGGAGCACCACGACAAGGGATGGAGGCCGGGTCTTCATCGGCGGCGACACCAACACCACCAGCGCCACCTCGACAACCACCGGCACGCCGAATGTCGCCAGAAGAAGTCGCTCGACGTCGCGCGCAAGGACTATGCTTTCATTGCATTGAGCGCTTCACCATTGGTCATCGTTGCGCCAATAACAACGTTCTTCTTATGATTGGCGCGTGCGGTGAAGGCGAGGACGGCACGTTCATCGAGGAGGAAGACCAACCTTGAGGGCAAGGTTGTGCTCAAGGAGGGAGGGATGTTACGAGATCGGGCCATCGTAGCATTTCGTAGGAGACTGGGCTTGCGTATCTTTAGTATTTTATTATTATTACATTATTAGTCTTTTTTTATTATATTGTCTTTATTATTGTTTTCCTTGTTCGTATAGGATTTGGTTATTGTTGGTAATATCCTTAGAGGTTTAGGAGTCATAATCTAGATAGGTAAGGGTAGAGGCTTGGTGCCTATAAATATGTACTTGTTTCGTTCGTTTAATGATAAGAAGATTGGAACCCAATAGTTAGCTTTTGTTCTTAGTTTGCTATTTCCTTAGTTATTTCCTTTGAGAGTTCTTGCGTTTTATTCTCTTTTGCGAGAAAACCCTAAAAACGCCATCCCCCTACGTCACATCACCGTAACAGTTGGTATCAGAGCCCGGTTCTCGGGATGGCGAGTAAGCAACAACAACCATCGAAATCCAGGGGAGCGGACGGAAGTAGCGGCGACGGGTCGGAACCCAATCATCCACAGCCACGACTACACGCCATTCATTAATTAAAACAACAGTCGCTCTCAATTAATTAAAAGAATTGGTCGAAACATTTCCATCATCTACTTACTATTCGTTTCATTTTTTACTCGCTTTACATAACCCTTTCTTTATTTCTTTCTTTGCCTTCTTCGTCTAACACTAATTAGTATACCATTTTTATGTATTATAATCACAAGTATAAACGGGTCCATACACGACTCACCAATAGTCTAGAGAATTAATAATTGAAACACCCTCGAATAAATGAGTATCCATACCCAACTCATACACATTTAGATTATGGAAGTAACTATCCATACGCTATCCAAACCCATCTACAAACTTCCAAACTCATATATACGTCACCCATACCCTCCCCATAATCAATGGGTCTACTCGAGTTTAGGTAAAAATCATTTATTAGCCAAAGATTTTAATTTTTTTTAAATTGGATGTTGATAGCCATATATCTATTCTCAGTCAATATCATATTGTCAAGTCAAGGTTACTAACAAAATTGCTAACAAAACATTAATTTTAGGCTAATAATACTGACAAAACACATAATACATGCACCTAAACCATCTCCACCTCACGACAAGGCACGCATCACCGCCTAGTATGCATATAAAGCTGATCACCATGAACCAGCAAAAGTGCAGAGCTAACCGAGCGAGCTACCTAGTCATATTTTCTTTCACTTGGAAAGGATTACAAGTAACAGCTGCGACTGATCCTACAGCATATCTTCTATTACCACAATGGTTTTCAATCTTTCCCTAAACCATGCTGCTACCCACCACAAGCTTCCTTCTACATAATCATCCCGTAAACACAGTGTCATATAAAAATATCATTTTTGTAAATGACAATGAATTCGTTGATTTTGTACAAATTTTTTAAAAATTTGAATTAAAACAAAGAAAAATTTGGAGAAACAAACCAATTTAAAATATCTTGTAATCTCAAACATCAAATTAAAATAGACTTAAAATTAAAAACCTTATCCACTTGATCATATACCTCATATTAGGACTAAGTTAGGTAGGGTGGAGTAGTTGTTGGGCTAAGAGAAAACTTTTATATATATATGGCAAAGGCTAGTGTACGTCCGGACGTACCCTAGCCTACCGTACGCTCTTTGAGTTTTATTATTTAGACAATAAATTAACTGAAGTTTGGGGCATGATACTATACCCTAACCCCTAATGGGTGAACCCCAGTCCGCAATTCACTAAGCCAAAGCATAATATTCATATATGAATATATATATTCTGTAAAAATGTAAAAATCATTTTTTATAAACTCGTAACATATTGCCTATCCTACCAAGAAAATTTCATATTGGAGACTAAACCGGTAGGTGGATTTTAGCAATATGAAACAGTTGAACCATAATTAAACTACAATTTTAATATAAAATACCGTACTGATGACTTTTCCCGTACAACCTCCATATGATTTTACAATCATTGATAAAAACTAAACATATGATGAAACGTACATGTCATGAATAGATTAAATTTTCAATAAGAAAAACTAAAATAGATTAAAAAACATAATATAATTAGGTTATCATTAAAAATCATTCGTGATGTTTGTTTTATACAATTAGTATTCACGTATAAATCTTATTTTTTCCACTTATCTTCATCAGCGTACCACTCAAATTAATTTATGTTGGCGCGCATAAAATTTTACCGTAATCTCATCAACTAATTAATTGTTTTCTGGATCGTGCAATCTTATTGATATTAATATTATCAATGAATCACATAATCTCGCCAACCACTTCTATTGCATATATAATTACTATGGAATCAGATATAATGATAATTCTCTATTATAGGAACCATATATAATAATGGAGTTGGACACTTAGTGAAAACGACTAGAATATAATGGCCGGGTCATGCAATCCTAACGATGAAAACGGGTTAATCTTGGCGCAATGAGATGTTCTGATCAGAGGCTTTTGATATTTTCCTGCGGTATGTGTACGAAAATGTTGGAGCCACCCAAATCTATGTTCCTTATCCAAATGAAGGATTCATTGGAAATGTGTACGTACGTAGATGGTGGTTAAAAGACGAGTACTTCAGGACCATTTGTCGTCTTTCCCGTTCTTGTACAGCACAAACACGTAGAGGACTCTTCTGATAATTAAAAAAAAAAAAACGTGGACACGTACGGTAATGTCAATCTGATGCTCCTCTGGACCAATATATATAGCTTAGCCTTACCACCATGAACCAGCACAACTCATACAGCGAGAGCTAATAGCCTACTGTCCCATTTCTTTTGGAGAGATCACAATTCACAGCTACGACCAACATTAGGAGTTACCACAAAATGGGTTTCAATCTTCATAGCAGCTCCCTAAACCATGCTATTACCTTTCACAAGCATCCTTCAATATCATCATTACCCCATAACCACAGTGTAAATAATCGCCAGCTTAGCACGGTGAGTGCTCGTGCGACAACAGCTCAAAGTAGCAGTACTACAGCGGACCAAAGACGGTCGGCCAATTACAAGCCAACAACATGGAGTTACGAGTTTCTCCAGTCCATCAAGGTCAATGACATCAACGAGGTAATTAGTTTCCTTTTTAAGTATATACCTCTCGTTATTTGAAGTACTATGATCCGTTACTAAAAGTTCATGCATGGGAGATATTCCTGCAGAATCAAATGTACAAAGACATGGCTGTGATGTTAGAGAGGGAAGTCAGCATGTTCTGAAGAGTTACGTAATGGAGGAGGATTCATTACTTATACTGGAACTGATCGATGATATCCAGAGATTGGGCTTGGCCCATCGGTTTGAGAGTGGCATTAAGAAAGCTCTGGATAATTTGGCTTTCATCATTGATGGTTGTAACACCATGAGTAGTAATATGTCCCTCCACGAGGTTGCTCTTTGTTTCAGACTTCTTAGACAAAATGGTTACTTCGTCTCGCATGGTATTAATTTGTTAATGGAGTTATATAAGATTCAATTTTAGTTTTCGAGGGCTAAATGATTATGAGGCTTTAATTTATGCATATGTACAGATGTGTTCAAGGATTTGGTGAGTGACAAGAATAATGAAGCCCTCTTGAAGGGATGCGGCCATGAGGATGTGAGAGACATGCTGAGTCTGTATGATGCTTCGTACCTTGCCTACCAGGGTGAAGACATTTTGGACAAGGCGAGGGAACATGCGACTGAACGTCTCAACACCTTCCTAATGGAAATCAGCTCGAGTAATGGTGATGAAAACATGGAAGAACTGGTTCGTCATTCTTTGGAGGTTCCGTTGCATAGAAGAATGGTGATGCTAGAAGCAAGATGGTACATTGAAGCGTATAAGAAGAAGGAAGGAGCAAACATGGCGTTGCTTGAACTAGCCAAGCTAGAGTTCAACATGGCTCAATCAGTACTCCAAGGGGACCTTAAGGTCTCGTCAAGGTAATTTTTTTTAGAATAAAGCATTAAGTATGTACAACCGAATAACTAATGTTTGTAAATGTGGGTACAGTTGGTTTATAATAGTTGTTATATATCTGGTTACCACACACGAATTTATACATGTGTGCATGTGATGTTAGTGATTCTTAATGACAATGGCTTAATATTTGTAACATGAAGGTGGTGGAACAATTTGGGGCTAGCTAAGGAATTGAGTTTCAGTAGAGACAGATTGGTGGAATCCTTTTTTTGGACCGTCGGAATGATGTTCGAGCCTCGGTTTAGCTCATGTCGTAAGGATTTAACACAAGTCACCTCGTTTATCACCATAATCGATGATATCTACGATGTTTATGGCACTATGGATGAGTTGGAACTATTCACAGATGCTGTTGAAAGGTATTTTCTTATAATTTCATTCCAAACATGGGGTTTTCATCTATGTAATGTACTCTTTAATTGTTGTACTAGATTGACCGTAGAATCTTAGAAGTTAAAGAGTTGAATGTTATCTCACTTCTGACTTGGTTTTAGGTGGGACATCAATGTAATGTCGAGCATGCCGAAGTACATGAAGTTGTGTTTCTTAGCTTTCTATAACACAATAAACGAGATGGGTTATGAAGCTCTTAAGAATTACGGACACAACACTATCCCTTACCTTACTAAAGCGGTAAGCTTTTCTATGTATTTATTCCTAAATTCTTTAATATACCAAACATTCCATTAATGAAGTGCTTATATTTTCCTATTTCAACTGTTGTTTCAGTGGGCTGGTATGTTGAAGGCTTTCCTAAAAGAAGCAAAATGGAGTTCCAAAGAATGCAACCCGCCAACATTTTCTGAATACATGGAAAATGCTTGGATATCTGTTTCTGGAGCAGTCATTTTGGTCCATACATATTGTCATTTAGATGATGAACTTTCGGATGATAATATCAACTATTCCAAGGAGGCATTGTGCCACTTGATGAATTCGAACGAAATGCTTCGCTGGCCATCTATCATTTTCCGGTTATGCAATGATCTAGCAACATCATCAGTAAGTTCCTCATACAAAACAAATCTCATGGCTAAAATGTCTAACACAATTCAAATCATTTGGACATTTGTAATAGTTGTTTTGTTTCCATTTTGAACTTCCAAAGATGATCAAGTGAAATTATTGGGATTAATGATTTTGTTTTTGGATGATCAGGAAGAGATAGCACGAGGTGAAACAGTGAATGACATCTCATGCTACATGAATGAAACTGGAGTCAGCGAGGAGCATGCCAGGGAGCACATGAAATATTTGATTGATGAAGCGTGGAAGAATATGAACGAAGGATTACTATTAATTACGAAACATGAATATTCTCCGATGAATGATCACGTTTTTTCCAAGTCATTTCTTCAATCAACAATCAATCTTGCAAGGATCTCTCACTATACTTACCATACAGGAGATAGCCATGGGGCTCCCGATGCTGGATCCAAGAAGAGAGTCATGTCCTTGCTCATGAACCCTATCAAAAGTTAAATGACGTGTTCCCAATGACTTTCATCATTTTTTTATTCCATATTCTTTTTCTTCGTGTTCAGTGTCACATGAACTCAGCTACTAGTGTATTGTATGTTGAATTGTAATTCAATGAGAATATAATAGTAACGATAAAAGATTATATTTGATAACACCCTACGAGGGTGTTTGATTGCTCGAACACAAGCTTGACAATTCAAGCTGGAGAACTCTTTAACGAATCGTCAAACACAACGAAATAAGAGGTAAAGATGGATTCAATGTGCAATCCTACACCTGGAGGAAGGCTCAAGGAATATAAGTCGATGCTCACCCACGATCAATGAGATTTTGATCGATACAAGAGCTTGATTCGAGCTTGGTTTTCTCGGCCAAACTCTCAACCAAAAACTAGCGATGACACTGAGTTTTAGGGTTTTAATTCTTAATCAATCAACCATAAAATATTACAGACCCTTCGTGATGCTTAAATATAGCTCACAATTTAACCTAAAATGAAAAAAGAAGCTAAAACCAACAAGGAAACTCAAAACAAGCTAATCCGAATACAACAAGGACTCCAACTCTGCCTTTCTGCTCTTGTCACCAAACAGGCTTCCATACCATCTTTGAGCTACTCGATGGAAGTCCTCCATGTATGCTATGAATCGGCCAATGCCCCTCCTTTGTAGATTAACATGCATACTTTCATGTGGAAGGAAGCCCCTAAGTCGATTATCACCCATATGCGTCGAGTAGAGCCTCAAAGTAGCTTCCTCAAAACAGCTTCCTGCCTTAGCCGTTTTCTGGCAGTTTTCAGATTGCTTCCTAGCATGTTTACACGTCTGGATAATGTCCTTCAGCACCTTGTCTTGCACCATCAAGGCCACCATCGTATAGAAAAAGGTTTTATATTCAAGACAAGCTTTCGAACTCACAATTTCATCAAGCCAATTGAAAGAAATCAGCCTCCAAAGTAAGCTACTTGAGCACGACAATTGACTTAGCCACAAAATCATGTTCTTCAATTGACTTGGGTTGACTTCTTTGACAAGTAACTCTAGTTTGATAATGAGCCAATCCAGGATCATATCAATATTAATGGTATGGACAAAATGTGACATAACAGTGAATAGTTGGATTTTCAATTAATTGATGGAGTGATTGGAAAAACTGTAAGATGCCTAAAATTGACAACGGAAGTATGGAAAAACGCAAAACAAAAATTTAGAATACGAAAATTTCAAGAATTGCCAATTAACTCATCAAGTATCTAGATTACTCTCGTAATACCACAGGCAACTAGTTATCGTCCAGGAACAAGGAAATTTTGAAATTTCTGCATGAATGATGTCAAAAAGTACTCTGTGCACTACTAGTGGTTATAGGAAAGGTAATTTTTCTTTGTCTGCCAAGGTGACAGAAACTCTTCCCTTTTGAATCTATGTAACTAAACTCCCTAGGTTGTTTAGATTGGTGGAACACTAAACGGTTCGAGGGTTCCTAAATATGAACTAAGAGAATTATCGATTGCAACACGTTGCTCCCTTTAAGGCCTTGCTTCTCTTCTCTGTCAAGTTGAACAACGTTCAACACGCTTCCATCATTCCCTCCATTAGGCTCTATGGTATCCCGTGATTAATCACCAAAGGATTTAAATTACAACCAATTTGATTCATGGCATTTAGGAAAAAGAGAAAATTAAGTGGTGAATAAAAAAATATGGGAGATTTGAACTACTAGTAGTAGCACTGAAAAGAATCCCCAATTTTGGCAAGCATCGGCCAGGTCTCGGATTGCTTTGGAGTGATGATTGGAAGTGTGCTTGTAACACTCTGGATCAGCTCAGCAAGATTTAGGGAAAGAAGGAGAGGAATTGATGAGAAGAGAGAGAGAGAGAGAGAGAGAGAGAGAGAGAGAGACGGAAAAGTTGTTTTCTTATTACTCAAATCCTCAACAACCTTTACAACGGACACTTAAGTAACCGCTCCTAGATTGACAGCTGTCAACCACTACTTACAGAATAGTCCTCCCTTTCCTATCTTGTTAGAAAACAACCACAAACAACCCAAACTGTTATAAGTCCCACCCCTCTAGCTGAGACTTGTCCTCAAGTCGAAAAATCTTGGAACTTCTGCTTCAAATCGTCCAAGAACTCCCTTGTGGCATCTTCTTCTTGTTGATGTGGCCACTGAATCAAAGGTTGAGTAGCAACCTTATTATCACGCTTGACAACCCTCCTAGCAAGAAATGCAGTAGGTTCCAGCTTCATCCACTTCAAGCAAGGTTGGTTGAACTTGGACTTGAGTTCCCTTAGTCTGCTTCAACTAAAACGCGTGAAATTCATTGTTAATTGCAGCAACAGCAGGCAGTTTCAACTTGTAGGCAATTGCTACAACCTTTTGTATCACCAGAAATGGTCCATAGAACCTAGGTGCTAACTTCTGATTACCCTTCTGCTGCACTGAAATCTCCCAATATGGCCTAAACCTCAAATAAAACCAATTCCCTTCCTTCAATACTCGTTTCGTCCTATGCTTATCAGCCATATGCTTCTGACAGTTTTGAGCCTTAGCCAAGTTATGCCTGATGAGCCCCACCAACTTATGTTGCTCCCTCAGTTTGTCAACCACCGCTGCTACAGAAGTGGAGAGTGGATCTGAATACCAAAGTGGGAAGGAGAGTAGCCATACAAGCAGCGGCGGATCTAGGGGGCGCTCCCGGGCTGCGGCTTATCCGTCATTTGGATCAAAGCTAGTATAGCACTTGTAAATTTTTTATTTTTGGTAATCATTTAAGTGTTCATCGAGCTACGGCCCAGCCCACTCTGCCTCTTTTCAAAATGTGGCCTAGTGCTCAACCTAGTCTTGGATCCGCCGCTGCATACAAGGCCTCAAAAGGAGTGATTTGGAGGCTATGGTGATAATTGGTGTTATACCAGCATTATGCTAATGGTAACCATGAAACCCAAGTAGCAGAACTAGTAAGAGACATACATCTGAGGTAATCTTCCAGGCAACGATATCTAAAAGAATTTTAGGTTGGTTTGACAACATGTTTTGTCAAATAAATCTCAATTTAGTCATAATAAGTTTATTTTGACAAAATAAGTTGTCACACTTTTGGTCAAAACTACCTTTTCGAAATAGGTCTGAATTGACAAAAATAATTTTTTGTTACAATAAGTTTTTCCTATTTTGACAAAATTGATGTTGTCATCATATCAACCTATTGTGACAAAACATTTGCGTTACAATAAGGGTCTATCTTGTCAGAACAGGGGGTATTTTGTGACAATATTCAACACTTTTTTCCCTGATATTTTGACAAAATATACAGTTTTGACGAATATTTTGTCATCAATTGTCATAATACAAGTAGTGTAGGATCTTCATACTTATTTTTACAAACGAATTTTTTCAAATCGAATACAACGCTACCCAATTTTGGTCATTTAGACTATTTATTTTGACGGATTGTTTGTCAACTTAACGCCTTGTTGTGACAATCTTATGTTAGTCAAGTTAGATGGTTATTACAACAACATTGATAATTACAAAAACAAACTTCATTGTCAGAGCAAACTACATGTCCAAAAGATAGATACCATTCATGTGCCACCAACCATTCTTGTCTTGACACTCATAACTTATCCATGATTGTGCATACTTGAAGAAGCACATTACTTAAAAGAAAAAAAAAAAGAAAACTGAGAGTCTACATCAGTACTACCCAACAAAAACCCATCTAAGCATCTGATAGTCTCCATTGATTTTCGCAGCAAGTGACTCCACATAGTCCTTCAGACTCTCTTGTGATGCTTCCAAGGCATCGATAGTCACCTTCTGGCCCCGAATCTCTTCTTCCTATTTTTGGATCTGGTCTTGTTGAGTTTTGATTTTATCTTTGAATTCCTGTCTCTGCTTATCTGCATCAGCAAGAGAGGTCTCCAAACGAGCTTCCAGTTCCTTCTCACTTTAGGGAATGAGGTATGCCTTTCTAACATAACTCGGTGCTTTGTGCATCAACCTACGAACAATTTCAACTCCTCACAATGGATTCCCTTGTTTAACTGCCTCTACATGAATCCTATTCATTTCCTACTGCAAGCTAAACTTTATAGAATTAATACACAACATGCAAGGGTATGTTCATTGGCCTCATTCGAGGAACCAATGAAGATTATTCCTTCACCAAACAAACCCTTAATCACTAAACCATTCAACACACCAACTATCCTCTTATTCAGTAGACTTCCTAAATCCTCCTACCAATCATCAACAATGAAAAGAATGCTTACATAGTTCTGCTGGGGTTCCACATTCACACAACTGCCATCAGATTTCTTGTGGGTGTCCGCATAGACTCTCAGTTCTTTGGGCTCTTCCTCCACTACATTAGATGGCTTACTGCTATTCTCCACCTCTCAAGAATCATCATTTTTTTTAGTAGTGGTATCGGCAGCAGCATGTCTTGCTTGATCTTAGTTCAAACCATGCAAAAGTAATTAAATCATTCACAAAGCCTTTAAACAATAATTTTCGTCTACTCAATCAGCCACTGAAAATGACTTCTTACAACTTCATACATCTGCTAGCTGCACGACTTTCCACTTGTAGTATGAGTATATGTCTGTTTACCCTTGTTCTGTTTGTTGGCTACACTCTGCCGCTGCACATCATATCATTTTGAAAATTAGTGGTAGGTATGGCACAAACATGGTGACAGCCTAAGAATTGAGATATTACCTTGAATTCAGGACTTTCAAAATGATCACACAAAAGATTCCAATCCCCAATGTTGATATTTTTGGGTGGAGTCTGGCGAGCATTAGCAGGACCTAATGCCTTGTAGTGCATATAACATAGGTGCTTCCAAGTCGTGAACCTCCTTGATAAGATAAATTCAACGGCCTTCCTTGTAGCTACACTAGTGATGGAGATATCAAACTCGTTCTGGAACACAAACATAAACATGTACTGATAATGGTAAGGCTGCAAAAAAGCATAAACATGGAATGATAAGGTTGCCTTCTTGAAAATTACCTGTAGCTTCTGGAATATGGGTTGTTTATCCTCTTCGGTGACATGTTTCCGGTAGTAATTCCCAATGGGATCCATCATTTTAAAGATAACTCCCACCTCCATCTTAAAC